CTACGTAAACGTGTCTACAGTATCCTAACTTATAACAAATAGATATCATCAGTTTGCACCGAATTCTAAAGTATTATCTTAATTCGGTTTATGTTGGATCCGTGTTAGCGTGTCCTTTATCCATACGTTTTCATAATTTCATATTGCTACATGTGTGTTGCAAAATCACGTACTTTACTCCACATTTGTTGTTCCAATTTGCTGAATATGTGAAATGTATTCAAAAAATGTATTGTGCGTTTATTGAATATATTTTGATTTACTGCCGTCAAAACAATCAGTAGTGATGTAAGATGTGGGTTGTGACCAAATTATGGCTTAAACATGACTAAAACAATTTGATGGGCTTCTTTTCAAAAATTTCCTCTTCACTCAAAAGCACAACTTTTAGTCGAGTTCAGGGCACATACTAACGTGTTCACTTGATGTTGTTGAATAGAAAATTGTTAATAGAATACTGATTTTTACTTGAACAAATCTAAATGGTTATGACGCATTTCTTGGTAATATTTTTCATGTTTTGATGTGATCAGGCTTCAACAATAAATCTTCTGAAATTTACTCAATTCAAGCTCAGAACCCATGTTTAACTGCAAGGTGATGGCTGATTGATGGCTTTCTGTTATTCGTTTCATTGTGTTGATTAAGGTCAATTCAATGATAGCCGACACGCTCCACGTAGCAAATATCCTATCGACGTCTATCGAATATCTCTTCATTATCGTGATTTCTCCTTCTCATGTCAACGGTTGCGAATCTCATTTAATTGTATTATCTTCTAACATTTAGCTTTTATTTGACCTCTTTTCAGTGGATAGGCAATAAATATACTCTCTAAAAAATATAAACGGTCCAATAATAGAAGTTTCCTACCGAAGAGCTATTTGTGAAAGTCACATACACCTGAATTGTGGTATTGATGGAACACATAAACCTGCCAACTGAGTATCCAATAGTTATCGTAGAAGAACTTCCTTATGCTGATCTACTTTCTCATTGACCACTGGAAATTTCAAAGTAAGTGGAAACTGTCAATGGTAGCATCAACACACATTTTCAAAGTTCTCATGGCCATCCGTTTCAGTCTGGCCTAGTTACATCTTTCCAGCCTACCTGACTACGCTGTGGATGCCCGTTTTTGTGTA